CACGTAAGTTACTAATACCTCAATAAAGCTTGACTGTTAAAAACAAACAAACTTTGGATTTCCTCTTGAAAGAGAGAAAGAAAAGGAACTGGGAAATACCTGAATAAATATGATTTGTAATTTGCCTATAGAGAAAATACGGTTTTTAAAAACTGACCCACTGTTATGCCTGTGTGTGTGCGTGTGTATGTGTATTAATGATCGATGTACTGAAATGATTACACTATTCTTTTCTTTTGGAGTTATGTTAAAGTGAAAACTTTCATAACATAATCACTCCAAGCAGGGGGGATTGGACAGCAGGGAACTTGTGGCTGCCCACAGCGTGTCTGGGAGGCCAGCAGGAGGACAGATGATATATGCATAACAGGTTGTAACCGTATCTGTGAAATCGCTTTCCTCAGCCCTCTCCCACTACCCATTCTGTCAGCATCCATCAGCACACCTGAGCATGGTCAACCCCCTTGGTCTGTCCAGATGCCCAGCTTCAGATTCACGTGAGGAATGTGAAGGTGGTCTTGATGGAGCATATGGTTCCATTTTGCTGATTTGGTCCAGTTGTTTGAAAACACATTGTCTTAAGTAGCATGCCATTTATCATATTTCACTACCTTTCAGGAGAGGTTTGAAGAGGAGAAAAACATACATTTTCCTGATGTAATCTTACTTTCCCAAATTTGAGAAATAAACCATTTTATTACTTTACAATGGAAAAGAAGATTGCACCCCATTTTTGTTTTACAACATTTATAAGAACATGCGTTGTTGTGATAAATTAAATCTGGCAAGGATTAAAAGAAAATTCTCCACCTAAGTAATCGTACAGCTTAAAGCAACATCCGTAGGTCAACTAACCTATACCTCTGCCAAAGACAGACTGTGCTTAAAAAACCGCACCCAGACAAATGAAAATTTATTCTATTTTTAAAGATTTCCCAGGGAGAGGATCATAGGAATTTTTGCCCCTTAAGGTATTTAGTCTGCCTGAAAAATTCATTTTACATAGGAACATGATAGAAACAAAGAGAATACGATCGTCTGGCTGCCAAATCCAAGGACTTTTATTAATATTTTCATCATTCTGAAATACAAAGGACAAAGTGGAAGATAAAATTCATGCACTATGTCTGCTGTGTTTCTGATTAATGAAACAGACCCTTATATTTTGTTAAGGTTAAGTAAGCGAGCCTAGTCAAGAAGCTGAGTTTTGCATTTTAATTTAGGGAATCTCAACAATAAGAAGTCTGCTGAACATAAGAAGTTAAAGCCAAGAACTGTTTTCTCTATAATTCTACTATGCTTTTCCCCAGCTATTGCACTAAAGGAATTGTGGTTTAGCTAGTAAGAGATAGTTTCACTAATTTAAAGTATTTATGGGTCATTGTCAATTTTTACTCTGAGATACAGAACATCCTCCAGCATAAATGGAAAAGTCAGCTCACAAGTGGTTTAAAATGAGGAAGACTGAATTACAAAAAAGTCATTTGAATATATATAAAATATAAATAAGCTCCTGGGCATATTTTAATTTAAAAGAAATCAATGTTTTGCTAAAATAATTTTAATTACTCAAATTGCCCATTGTCATTATGAGCTAAGCCTCATTCTTTTTCTAATTAAATGTGATCATTTGCTTAAGTTGTCCTCCTCTCAATGGGTAATGGGCACAAACTGACCTTGTGAAAAGAACTAACTTCCAAAAAAATGAATATTTCTCTTCATTTCAGGTTGTGATTAAACAAACAAATGGAGGAAGGGCAGGGGGGTGGCATGGAGGTTGAGCCAGCTTTCTAAATGCCCAGGGCATCAGAGAAAAAGCTTACTCCATGCATATCTGACGTAAGGGCAACAACAGGGAAACAACCAAGAGAAAGCCTGTCTGTCTGAACAAAGAGCTAGTTTGCTGGCCAGCTCAGCCCAGATCTGGGCTCTGAGCTCCTTCAGGAGGCTGCTCTGCAGGAATTGCCCACTTTGTCCTCGTGGCCACGACCCTCTCTCTTCCCTTCCCTCACCTTCGCCCGCCCATATATAAATAAATGTATGAAAACTCCAAAGTAGAGTTCTGTCTAAGGTAAATATTTAACCTTTATCTCGCCCATATTTGCCATCGCACTCAAAAGATATTCCCATACGTATTAGTCATTTTACTTCCTTGTAAGTCATGTCCATGGTATTTTTAAGAAGTAGAGGAGCATGCTGGGAATGGGAGATATCAGCGGGTCCCTGATGCTGAGGTGGATGGGAAAGAAGAGGCCGGCCCGCCTACCCAGTGCTTTGAGACAATGCCAATGGCTTCTGCTTCGTAACACTTAGGTCAGGAAGAAACTCAGATGAATCTACCTCTAAGAGGGAATGGGGAAACCTGGGGATGTGGTCCTGACAGGGAAAGGTGACCCCAGTGAGGATGACAGTGACCACACCAACTCATGCCCAAGAGCAAAGAGAGAGCAGGGCTGCCGTCTGCTCACTTGGAATTCCAGGCGCCATGTAATCTGCCCAGTGCTGGGTGGAAGTTCACGCGTAATGAGAAGCATTTGGGCATCAAGTGTCTGGATGCTCATATGCTCTTTGCATGGGCACAGAAACTATGTGCCAGGCTAGTCTTAAGATTCCACAAAGGAAACTTCAGAGTTCTAAAAAAGTGGGGCTATAAACTGGCTTGGAAATCTTTGATTGCCTTAGAAGTAGCACAGAGTAGAGGAAAGCCAGAGATAAACATTGGTTTTCATCATAAGGCACTTTTTTTTCTAGATGAGAGAGAATCTATTGAACAGAGATGAAAATATTCTCTTCAAAGTTTGGTTAATTCACTGAGGATTTGAATAAGTCTTCATAACTCTAGGTTAAAGAAAATGTGCAGTAAGCTAGAATGTTCATATACAACATGGAGAGCCATAAGCAGAAGGGGGTAGAAACTGCTACAGAAGATTTTGGGTTAGCTGTAAAGAAGAGGTTTCTATAAAAAAAGTTGCAAAACTTAACTAATTTGAGGTGAAGATTATTAAACCCATCCCACAGAGTCTTTAAACGGAGAGTAAGTAGTATATTCAAGCCAAGAATTAGAATCTCGTAATTAAAAATCCTGTGTGCTTTAAAAATGTCCGGCATTAAAATATATGCTTTGCGTGAGCTTTCTGTCTTAAACATAACAAGAGTTATCTGAGGTAGTGTTTTTTATTATTATTATCATTATTATTTACCAACAAATACACTGAAAATTAGAATAGTAAAATAAATAACCTAGAATTATTGATCTCATGATTATTGGAGTAAGGATTTGAACCCAAGTTTATCTGATATTAACAATTTTGCTTTATTATTTCCCTATTGTGATTCTCAAAGATTTGGATTTTTATGAATGCTTGATAGCTCTCAGCTCAGGACATTCCCTGTTGTCATGACTAAAGAATCTTAGCCTGTGAAAGGCTAGGACTTAGATCATAGCTGATATCAGAGTTCTCCCACTAGAGCCTGGGAGAATTCAGGGGCCCAGATTGAACAAGAGCCTGCAGAACTAGTTGTCATGAGTCTACAACGTACTGATTCATTCCCTTTCTCCAGCCCTTATGCTCTAAATCCATCATTAAGTCTCAATGTGCATGTAGGTTTGAGCTCCTATCTGTGTTAGGTGCGGTTCTCTGGGAAACAGATCTGAGATGAAGACTTGCATGCAGGAGGTTTATGGTACCAATACACATGGATAATTGAAGGAAGCAGGGTGGGGTGGATGGAAGTTGAATTGTGACGCAGTTCCAACAAGGCTTGCCAACCCTTCAGCTGCCAACACTCCCAGAAGTTGGTGGAATAAATGCCTTTGTTCTAAAGGGGGTGGAGGGAAAGTGGCACTCACAACTTCCACAACATGCCTTCTGTGCATCTGCTGAGACCAGTTTGACTCAACAAAGCAGACATGGCTAATTCAGCAAGCAGTAGACTCTGGGCCAGCAGCCTGCCAACAGTGGCACTGCAACCTATCTAACGCAGGGTCACTAGTTCCAAGAAGCAAAGCCACACCCATGAAGTGTTGCATTTCTTAAAGAGCCAGAGGTGAAAACAAAAATAAAATCACCAGCAAGGATATACCTGTGTACGTTGGCAGACGTGATGAAGGTTATGGTCTATGCTTGAATTAGAGATGTTCTGTGGAAGAGCAAAACTGTGCCCAGCCCTCCCTTTGGCCCTGCACTTATGACAGGGGCTCCATAGAACATCTGAGAAGGGGAGAAATGGAGAAAAATTATTTGATATCAACCCAGAGTGAGCCAAAGCATCACATCCAGACACAACCTGCTAGGATAGCTCATTATTAAAAAGGAAGCTAATCTCTGGGTTGAACACATTCTTATATGCCACACTAAATTTATTTTATTAAAGAGTGTTGTTGGAACACTTTCTCTAAGTGTTTTCCAAAGATCAAATGTTAAATCCGATTACACCCTAAGGTTCTTTGTCTGCAAATAATGGGCATGGCCAGGAGAGCTTTCATTCAATCAATAAAAAATTTATTAAACACCTACTATGTACCAAGCACTAGTCTATTCACTGGAGGCCAAAAAATTACTGACATAGTGTTTTCTGATATCAAAAATCTTATGTATTGAAGACACATAAACAGCTAGTTATAAAGCAATTTGATAAATTCTACAATAGTAACACGTACAAATTGCCATGGGAGCCCAAAGGAAGAAGTAATAAGAGAGGCATGACAATAACACACTTGGAAATAATGGCAGGTGTTGAATATAAGAAGCATAGTGAATTCCTAGAGCCCTGTAGTCTAGCAGCCGTTAAACTAACACCATTGCTGATTTTAATGTCATCCTTGCAAGGGCAGCAGGAGCAATTCTGGGGTAACGGTAACAGAAAAAGCAGAGGGGGACAAATGCTCAAGTTAGCTAGGTTTTCTAAAATTTTTTTCTATAGAATCTAAACACAACTTTACATTTTCCTTCAAAGAATGCAGTTATAAAAAAGAACGTAAGTACAGTTAAACCACCCAATCCTTTAACCACCTTCTTTTTCTTTTGTAGTAATCTCAGAAATTCTGATTTACATATACCTTATTACCAAAGAAAATTGACCTTGATTTCAAAACCACTATTTAACAACTCACCCAGACCTACACTACCTACCCTCCACAACTGCTTCCTTTAGAAAAGAAGAGCTATTTCTTGCTTAGGATTTCTTGCATGCATCAACAGCTTCATTTTTGTTTATAATTTTTTAGATGGCAGTTAGGAAACAAGAAAGGACTCACCTCTTTGAAAAACAATGTAACGTCTGGCTAGGTGTTTATTCCGCCGCCTGGGAAAATGATTTCAGATGGTCTGTTGTGGATTGCCCAGACTTCCTCAGCTCCCTCCCGCTCAGGAAAAAATTCCTTTCCTGGGGTAGTAAGTTGAGAGAGGAGAGCTGTGTAACATTAGACAGTGAGCACCTGTCCTCCAGAGCTTCCGGCAGATTCTTCATCACGAGTAGCCTAGAAGCAGTTTAGAGTCATCCTTTTTCCATGAAGGATGTGGTAAAATCTGGGACTTTTAAAATGGACAAAATTGGTATGTAAATATTGTAATCTCAAATCAAACTTGACTGGGAGGGGAAGGAAGTAAGGAGAGATGGGGAAACATTTCTACCAGTTTAGAACTGTGCATGAGGCTTTGAGAGTTATGCACTCCTAATAACTGAGGACAACCTTCTGATAAAGTTCTAAATGCATTGTTAATGTTAGAAAGAATTAAATAAGTGATATTTATATAAGAAAACCTTTGTTTTCATTCTGTACTGTTTTATTATTTGATTTTTATGAGACACAGTTTTCAAAAGAGTGAAAATTTGCCAAAAGAATGAAAAACAGAAATGCGTGAAAATGTTTTCACATGGAGTACCCACTTTGTAAAGCCCCATCTAGCCTGGTACCTCTCTCTCATGATAATTATGCCCTGTGTTTCCAGCAAGCACCAGTCTCCTCTTGGCCTGCTGAGGTTGGGATGACCTTGGTTAGAGGGCAAAGGCAGAAAGGAGACGAAGGCATGCACAGAAACAATGACTGAAGAAGACAAACTTGAATTGCAAAGCAGTCTAGCAGGACCAGCAAAATGGGCCAGTGCACTGTCTGTCACAGTGCGTACTGCAGCTGTCTGCGCTGACAGAAACAGCCCACAGCAGCCTCTGAATTACAGGCACACATTGCTGTCGCTCAGCCACACCCCACAGCAAGCATTCTTCCATGTAAGTTGATAAAACAATGAGAAAATAACTGTTGGCAAACCAGTTTATTAGACTCCTTTGAGAAGAATAATAATGATAATATTAATACTTCCATTTGCTGGGATTCTAGAACATGTCAAGCATTGGAATGGGCACTTGAAAAACATTACCTCTAAATATAATTCTGTAAAATAAGTAACCCATTCCTTAGAAAATTAAATGCCTCTAAGTTAAATGACTGAACTGTGTTCACAAAATTACCAAGTTGCAGAGGCTGTATTTGAACCTAATATTTCTGACTCCCCCAGGTTTTCATATTTATCACTATGGATCCCTTAAATAATAATGCTGTCAGGTATCATTTATTGAGCACCTATTGTGTACCTATTAACTTTACATATATCATTGTATTTAATCCCCAATGTAGTCTTTGATATCAGGTAATGTCATTTCCATTTAAAAAAATCTCATATAAAGGTAAAATATTTGTCTAAGTAAGGTTTGGGGATAGTTAGTTATTATCTGGGGATAGTTATTATCTATATTATAGTGCAGGCATGATGTATCTTTGTTTCCTACTTTTGTTCAGGAAAAGATTAAATGTAATATTTTCTACATCTTGATAATTCTATAAGGCTCTCTAGAAATATTATCTAACATTGTGCTCCTTGTACATCTTTTACCCACAGAGAAGAATGACTGCATTAAACTGATGATAGTGATTGAGAGAACAAGTTTTAGAGTCATCCCAAACTGGTTTAGAATCCAAGGTGGGTCGTTTATGAGCTCCATGACGACCCTGTAGATACTATTTAATCTTTCTAAGCTTCTATTTCCTTAGTTATAAATTATAGATAATAACACCTAACTCATAAGTATTTGTATTTTACAAATCAAATCAGACAATGTCCATAAAACACTTAGCACAATGTCTGGCATCTACTAAGTGAAAAATAATTGGTAGCTGTAGTTATTTTAAAACAACAATAATCACATTTTATTGACTGTATCAGTTAATTTTCGATATAGCTGCTTTAAAAGGAAAAAAAATAGCATTGCCTAACAAAGATAGATATGAACTTCTCTCTCATGTAAAAAAGCACAGAACAGACCAGGACATACATGGTGACTCTGTGGTGTCATTAAGGACACCCAGGATGTTATCTTTGTTCCATTACCTAGACGATTGCTTCCATTCTCAAGATCACCTCATGGTCCAAGGTGACTTCTGAAGCTTAAGCCAGCTCATCTGAATCTTGTGTCTGAAGGAGAAAAAGAAAGAACAAGAAAAAAAGGGACCCCTTGAAGCTGAGTCAGCTCCCTTAAAGCTACCTTCCCATGGTCCCATGCAATTCATCTGCTTCCACTTCATTTACTAGATCTTAGTTACATGGCCACACTATGCTACAGGGAAACTAAGACATATAGTCTTTTATTCTAAAGCTAAAGTATCAGGATTTGTTTCTAAGGTAGAAGGGGTAGATGGATGTTGGAGAAGGCAACTGACAGTCTCTGCCACACTGGATAAGAATGATACTACCCTGATCATAGCATGTCAGGGCTGATGGAATATTAGCGATATCTTAGTTCCATCATTTTATTTAAAAGATGAGTAAACTGTCATTCAGGGAGATAATAGGATGTATGAAGGATTGCATGATGAATCAGAGGCAGTGCCCAAATAGAACTCAGATCTCCTGACTTCCGGTCCAATGTACTCTCCGTCAACTTCACTGTCTTTCTAATAAATGACTGGTTTTTTCTAATGTCCTTTTAGAGGGATGTGACCTAAATATTTTAAGGCTTCCAGCTCTTGTTTCATCCTTCACATTAGTTAACAGTGGTCATTATTCAATTTGCCATTGTAAACTCTGTAATTGCTAACAGCCATTTTACCAAGGCAAAAAATATATTTCTGTTATTTGCTCTACAGGTATTATTTTCTAAGCCTTTATTCTGTTACTCTCCTCTGAGTCCATTTTATTGTTCTTTCAGTCTAAAATTTATCCCCTGAAGAGGTACTTTGCTCTTCCTGAGGTTACAGCCAGGGAAATATTATACAGTCTGTAATTTGCAAGCTTGTGTTTTTATTAAAGGAAATTTAGTTCACATGTTTCTATCTCATTTAAACTAAAATCTGTGAAATACTAGAGTGCTATTTGATATCTATGCACTCCTGAGAGCCTTTTAAATAGGCTTTGAAATAACTTTTTATTTTTAGAGACAGGAAGCTATGCAATGCTAAAAGCATCCTAATAAATGGACACAAGCAGTGAAAGATTAGAATTGTAAGTGCAGGCCAGTGAATTTTAAATGAATCCTAAATTAGAGTGATTTCTCTAGCTCCTAATTAAAGAGGTTTTAGTCACAGACAAAGAACAAAAAGCATAAAAGAACACGTGGCATAAGGAAAGAAATCATAATTATTTAGTTGGGAGGAAGATGTGTTAGAAAAAAAATTTGTGTAGTCACATTAGCTTGTCATATCTTCCAGGCATGATTTCAAAGGGAAACAAGAATTCCTTTCCGCTCTCTAGAAACCTGGATTTACCTCAATCACCGATTCCTTTGAAAATGATTTAATAGGGAATTTCAAATTTTAACAAGCTGTCTCATGGAAAAATGTTAATCCTAAATTGAAGAAAAATGACAACAAGCTATAAATAGAGCCTGGAAAAAATCTCTTTTAAAACATATTATATATACGCATGTATATTTTAAAAGTTACAGAAGGATATACACCCAGATATTAATATTAAATATCTTGAGTCATAGAATTGTGAGGAATCCCCCCCTTTTCAGTCTATATTTTTTTCTAAGAGGAAGAATATGTCTGTTCATATTTTAATTCTAAACGACACAGCTAGCTGATGACAAACAACTGATTTTGAAAGAAATAAAATAGGCTAATTCTCAAATTTTAATGAAAGAACAAAATGCATACAGTGACAGGTTTATATTGTGTGAACAGAATATCTATTGTATTTGGGGAAGTTATGGCTGCATTTATCCAACAAAACATCTGGTCCTTCTAAGGTGTCAGAATTTGTCTGCTCTTAGTTTTATAAAATTTGAAAAAAAAAGAGCTTTGTTTTCCAGATGTCCATATGATGGTACTATTAATTATACTATGCTATATTGGGGAACAAATGAAAAACAGAAAAGTAATAGTTCATTTAAAAATAAATCTGTATTCTGTTATATTTGAAGCATAGTAACACAAGTAAATGGCATATATTATTTATTCGGTCTGAGAACAATGGCAATGTTCATGGCACGTATTGATTCTAACCCCTGGCAATAATTCCAAATATCTTAGGGAGCTGAGAATGGGAACGTCTGGTGAATCCACTTGGGTTCCTGCCCTCTCCACTGTGTGCACAGCCTGAATTATCAGCACCTTTGTTAATGAAAAGAAATTTCCCCAGAAGTCGGCCTTATCCTCACATCCTCCTTGCCCTTTTGCCGGTGCTTTCTCTCACCTGCCTGTCCCCTCCTGTGCTAAGGAGCAGAAGACAGTGATAGGAGATGGAGATCCAGAAAGAGCCAAAAAATAGGGCACTGAGTAAAAAGAGTGTTAGGTGATGTCTCATGCAGTAAAGATCAAATAGAGGTGTTGACCACCTCCTTCAAAGCTCTTCTCCCAGGTGGTGCACAGTACCTCACACCCTTGAGCTGCCCCAGCCATAGACTAAACCCCGTGCTAATTGCAGACACTGCAGCCTCCAATTCCTGCTGTGATCTGCTCTTCTTCCACATGTAATGGGAATCTAGTCTGAGCATAGACTATGTCCTGTCTGTATCTATTTCTCATCAAACCTGATAAACTAATAGCAGAGCCCAACAGGAGTCTGTATCCATTGGGCTGATAATCTTCTGGGAAAATAACCCAATTATGCAGAATTCAAATACTTTATCTCAGCCATGGAAGATACACAAAACTGTCTCTCTGAGGTTTATTTGAATCTCCTTCCAAGGTGCCTTCCAAGAAAGAACTCATCCTACAACCTTATGAGCTGACTGGTCACCATTCTTAGGAGATTCAAAATGAGTAATGATTGAATACTATTATCAGTTAGATTCGTTCCCAGTCCATTTTCAAAGGAAAAAGAGAGCTGTGAGTCAAAGGTGAAAACCCTGCATCCTGAAATCTCTGCAAGTCATTGGGGCGCAGCAAAGTCACTTCAAGAGACCATGTCATCTCAAGTAGATTATGACTCAAAGGAAAGTAAGGTAGAGTGGCAGGGGAGTCAAGCAAAGAACAGGGTGCCCAGGGGTAAACAGATTATGGCCCAGAAATGCAGACTCTCTGCTTGCAGTTTAGATTTCTTGGCTGATCAAACAACTTACCAAGTCTTAAGCCAGCAAAAAAGAAGTGAGAGTTGATATTTCCACCCTGTTATGTTTGCCTCTTTGTGGTCAGCCTGCTTGCCAGGAGAGAGCAGCTGGCTCATGGTCAGCACTCCCTCCCTTGAAAATTTTCACTTGAGAAAAGCCTAAGGATGATGCACAGGGGAAATAAAGCATAGATTCCAAAACTTCAGATGTTACACTATTTTTTAAGTCTCTGGTCTGTTAAAATGAACCAAAGAACTTACTCTTAAATTATGCTAAATTCACTCCCTGGGCAATTTCTGGGTTTCATCATTCTGGATGTCTACCTCTTTTGATCCAATGATTCTAGAAATTGACTGCATTTTGCAGGGATAATTCGCCAGAGACTGTGGCTTCTCTTGGTTCACCCATCATCTGCTTGTGTATCCTGATGCATGAGTGAGCAGAAGACCAAGTGCCAAGACCCAGGCTACCTTATTCCTTCCTGAGGACTGGCCACTGACCACTGTGTACTGAGAGGAACACCATGCCCAGCTTGCACAGGCTGTCTTGCCTATAGCCCAACCAGCCCCACGGATCCTTAACTGCCTTCCCCTGGGACCTTTCCAAAAGCTCTGAGTAAGACTTTCCTCAAGCCCCAGGACTTATGCCTGACCCTATCCACATGACTTTCTGTAAGGGATGACCTCTCAGAATTATGGGATTGGGATGTCCAGAAGCAAATGCATCTTGCGAAATGCCTAAGAGACACAGAGTATAGAAATTTTATCAGGAGAGAAGAAAACTGAGTCCAGAATAGGTTTCATCACTGTATTAGTTTCCTGTTGCTGTTGTAACAAATTGCCACAAACTTAGTAGCTTCAAACAATACAAATTTTTTCTCTAACAGTTCTGGAAGTCAGAAGTCCAAAATCAGTCTCACTGGACTGAAGACAAGCTGAAGGCAGGGCTGGTTCCATCAGAGAGTCAAGGGGAAAATCCGTTTCCTTGCTTTTCCCACTTCTAGAGGCCACCTACATTCCTTGGCAGGTGGCCCCTCCTCCATCATCAAAACCAGCAGCCTAGTGTCTGGCTTCTGTCTTCACAGTAGCTTCTTCTATAATAAAATCTCCCTCTCCTGCTCTCCTATATGGATCCTTGTGATTACATTTAGGGCCCACCAGGATAATCTCTCCATATGGAGACCCTTAACTTTATCATACTGGCAAGGTCACCTTATAAGGTCACACTCAAAGGCTCCGGGGATTAAAATATGAGCATTTTGGAGGGATCATTATTCTATCCAGCACAACCAGAAAATAAGGATGTTTATGGTTGTATTAAGCAAGGTTCTCCAAGAAACATAACAAATGGAATATATACATATAATATTATACATTAATTAATACCGTATTAAATACCTTAATACTATATATTTATTAAATATAGATACATCTAATATATAGTCGATATTATAATTATATAATATATATCTAATAACCATAAATTGTTATGTTTAATTATATATTTATTTTACAAATATGCCATATTTGTATTGCATATTTATATTTTAAATATACTATAATTTTACATCCAGAAAGAGCTAGTATATAATTATATTTCTAAAAATACTGTTATAATATATATCTAGAAAGAGATTTAATGTAAGGTATCAGCTCACGTAATTATGGAGGCTGAGATGTCCCACTGCTGTCTGCAGGCTGGAGATCCCCTGAAAGCCAGTGGTGTAGTTCATAGGCCTGAGAGCAGGAGAGCAGATTGTGGATGGTGTAGATGCCAGTCCGAGTGTGAAGGCCTCAGAATCAAGAGGGCTGAGGACAGAAGATCAGTGTCTCAGTTCATCAGTCAGGCAGAGAGTAAATCCAACCTTCCATCACCTTTTTGTATTCCATCCCTCAGGGGATTGGATGATCTCACCCACACTGGGGAAGGCCATCTGCTTTACTCAGTCCACCAATTCAAATGCTTATCTCTTCCGGAAGCATTTTTACTGATTCAGAAATAATGTTTAACTAGTTATATGGGCTTCCCTTGCCCCAGTCAAGTTGACACACAAAATTAACCATCACAATGGTGCAAGATATTTTATTCTAATAGACATTTTATACTCTATAGATATATACCATATGATTCTTGGACTGTAAATGACCCTATATTTTACAGTTACTGGAAAGAAAATAGATAAATCCTTGTCATTGGTACCTGATTTTTCCCTTGGAATTACAGTGCTTATGTTAATTAATGGAATTGGTAGACTTTAATTTTAATCTTTACTTAAAATATTCCTGAGTAAATCAAATTAATCCTGTTTATCTTTTTCTTATTTTGCTATATAAAGTGGATCTGTCCCACTCCACATAGCAGATTAGTTCTAAATTATTTAAATCCAAATGGACTTGTAGCCATTGTCTTCAGTTATGTAAAAAATCTGTAATTCATAAGGTATCTGCTTCTGTAGGTTGGAGGATGGTGGCAGTTGTTGGATACACAGCACAGAACCTAATGGACTATCAAATACAGAGAAGAATTTGTGCCTCATCACATATTTCAGGTTTGTTAATGAAAATGGGATGTAAAATAAGAAAATTAGAATGCATTAATAAATTTTTGTCAGTGGAGACCATGATTCAATATTTAAAAACCTAACTAATCAACATTTATGTAACTGAGAGTTTTTATTGCATCCTGAAATGCAAAGGCTTTTAGTCTATTTAAAAACTGATAAAGCCCTTTAAAACATCTTCTTTTAAAACAAAACTAATTGTAGTCAATACTAAAAACTTTTTTTAAAAAAGCCAAGTCATAAGGTAGTTATAGTAGAAAGAATATTAGATTTAAGCAAACAAATCCCAGAATTTGGGCTCTGGTTATGCTACTTATAAGCTGTGTACATTAAGGCAAATAGTTTGATTTCTCTCAGTCTCAGTTTCCTTATTTATAAAATATGAATTACACTGCCTCCTTTAAAAGATTGTTGCCATAAGTAAATGAAATATTATATGCTAAGTGCTTTGTGAATTGCTATAGAAAAAGTAAGATGTTATTTTGAAGGGCCCACCATGCACTATTGCTTACTTACAAATAAATACATTGTTAATTATATATATATTGGTAGTTTAAAATAATTTAGGTGTCTATAAAGTTAAAAGAGAAAAACTCATATGTAGCCCCAGAGGACTTCTCTAAACTCCCCATGTTGGTAAAGTTACTATTAGTACTTCATCATATAAAGAAATACCAACTTCTAGAAATAAAATTAGCTTCAGAAAAAGAGACGTGATTACAGTGTCAAAGTGGCTAAGATAAATGGTACCAAAGTTGGCTATTTTGTTAGGTGTAAAAGGGATCTGAAGAGTAGTTACAAAGATATTTGCATTTAATACATACATAGTGTTTTAATTTAATATGTGAGCAGACTATCCAATGACATTTTCTAAAAAGAAAAATTAGTTACAGTGAGCATTTAAACATCAACCCTGAAAAATAGGGCTGTTATAAGGATGTAGCTCTGTAGCTCACTGAGCATCCCAAAGGGCAGAGACTCTGGTCTCTGCCCTGTGATCCTCCAGCTTACATCTGTCCAACAGCTGTGTCCCTTCTGATTGGTCCATACCTGTGCTGTCCCAGGTGTTCCATAAAATACCACGTCAGCTAACACGTAAGCCAACTACTGTCCCCAGTCTGTATCCAGAGGTCTGCCTTCCAGATCATGGACCAAATGTGATATCCAATTATACATACCTTTTCCAATTTTCCATGAATCTGGCATTTCTGTTCATTACTACTCTAGTGAGGCATTATAGTAGCCACTCAATAAATATTTGATGTTAAATCATTCCAATATAAGACTAGAAAGAAAAGTAGGAACTATCACAGTTTCCTATAAATTATACATACAAATACTACTTTGGGAAAGTAAAAGGCTTGTTAAAATAAAGTTTAGACATTATAATATCAAAAGCAAATATTTTTCTCTCATAGAAACACATGGGTTGTAAAATAATAATATATTACAAAAACTGATAAAATTAATTAAGGAGCAGCAAACAGATTCTCCTTAATTGATAATGTGAGTAAAAATTGTATCAAATTTTATGGAGAACAATTTGGCAACTCAAGTCAAGAGTATTTAACAGTTCTCCCTCCTTTTATCCAAATATCTGTTTCTAGGAATTTTGCACAAGACACAATCTTATGTTTAAACAACTAAAAAGGGACTAGTAAGATTTAAGAACACAAGAGTTCATCAAAGAATCACTCATAATAGAGACAAGCAAAAGGAAATAATATAAGTGCCCAATTATAGAGTTAGAGAAATAACTTATGTTGTTTACATATAATTAATACTTCACACATAATTAATATTTACATTAAATGCATTGTATAAAAATGTTAAATTATACAACAATATGTACTGTTTACTTTTAATTTTAAAGTAATCAATAAAAATTTTAAATAAAATTAAATAAATATAAAAATTGTAAAAAATAAAAATATATGAAAATAAACATATATCTATACATTTTATCTAAAAAGATTTAGACCAAAATAGAAATAGTGGTTATTTTTCTGAACTGAGTTAATTTTTAAATTATTTTCCCTTTTTCTTTTGTATTTTCCTAATTTTCTACAATAAACATGTATTGATTTCATAATCAAAACAAAAAAAACTCTCTAAAATTGAAATAACACACTGAGGCAAATAAATATCAAATGTAGAAAAATAAATTCCATCTTACTGTAATAAACTCTCTGTTAGTCAATGCTTCACTGTGTACTAGGCTCTGTCGATTGAACAAGGTCATTACCTACATGCCATTCATCAAAATGCATGTTTAAAATACCGCCTCAAAGGAATTTGGCAAAATGCCTCCCTGAATGCATTATTAAATATGTCCAGGAGGATACTGGTTTGAGTTTATAAGTCACCTTCAGAAGACAATGAACGCAGTCACCACAACATTCTCAAGTCAATTATAACCAATTTGCTTCTAGTCAATGGTACATTGACGGCCCTTAAATAAACTATGTCAATACAGTCACTCTAGTGGATCTCCATCATCTGAATTTGACTCATGGGAAGAATATTGTATAAATATTTTCAATTCATATGACCATTTTGTTTGCTTAGATGAAGATTTTTTTAACCCCTGTGAAAAGAGCTCTTACCATCCTGGACTCTCAATGATCACCAATACCTTTATCATCATTTTAAAGGTTTTAATTAATTAGAAAAAGTTAGTGTGCTAGCTTCAGCTAAATTAGCCCCAAAATAGAACCTTTGTCAGAGAAGATACCTTGAGAAAAATAAACTTAGTAACTATGTGTTGGGCAGTACAGAGTTCCAGGGATTTATTAGGCACAGTCCCTGCTCAAGATGAACTCAAACATAAATGTTTATGTCAGATCTAGTGGGAACTTCAATATAACAGATGGCTCTTAGGAAGGGCAAGGAATTGGAAATTCACTGGGGAGTCATGAAGACCCAAGGCTGGTTTAACACGATACAAGAGAAACAAGGCAATCAGGTGGAAATGAATTTGAACATCCTGATTGAATTTTCAGAAACTTAAATGTTATTGCATTTATCCATAAAAACATAAAGTTAACTTTCTAATCTTTGATCCCCTCCTCTGCAGCCATTCAAGATATTCATTCAGCCTTCAACTAATTTTATCAGTGCTCTAAGAATCCCACTATTTTAGAAACTGCTTTATCTACCTAATCGTATTTTGTTGCAAAATATTCCCACCCTATGAAATTACTTTTGTGGAATTCTTTACTACAGTGTGAATTATTTTTGCGGTGTTTCAGTAATTTCATGGATGGAGTGTAAAATGCACCTGGGATTGTTGTAAATCAAGGATGGGAATTACCACTGGACACACCAGTGCAATGGTTAAATGGAATAGAAATGCGATGCTCAAATAAACTGTCTCTGCACAGAATAGTGCCTTATTTGATTGTATGTTTTCTTTTTATAGAAGAATATTGCAAACTTCTGAATTGGGTATAAAATGACAAATTGTTACATGACTGCTTTTATCTATACGACGAGGGAGTTGAAGAAAATTATTTCTAAGTTCCTTTCCATTTTTAAAATACTATGAGTCTGCCTTTTTCACTCACAACATGACAGTAATGGCTGCCCAATGCTATAGCAGCATTCTAAGAATGTTTTTAATGACCGTTGACTGCTAACTATCATTTTCCATGTCAATGGCCCAGAAAAAGACTTGAGGTCCATTTGGAACTCATAGAAAATAAGGTACTAGGAGCACTGATTAAAGTAAAGTTATCCTTTGTGAAGTTGCTTCAGAGATGGGTTTTTAGTTGAATAATTGAGAAAATATTTCTGAACGGAGGCTCAATATTTTGGCCAAACAACACAAACCATCATCCTTACAAACAGTAGTGATTAATTAAAGTAATGATGACCCATATCATTCGTGCCAGTTCTCAGAAAGTAAAATGTATCTCAAAATATTCTTAAAATGTTATCTTAGCTGGGTGAAGATGAAACATAAATGCTTTTTCAAAAGTGACATGAATAGCACTCTCCTCCTCTGCAGTGTTCCATTTGCCTTATAATATTTTCTGGAAAAGGAAGAGGCTTTGGGGGGGCTAGGAGAGAGTGTAGGGAAGAGGTAGAAAAATGGATGGTGGATGGTGTCTGAGAGTACTGAATCTCAAGGATTCAGCAGAAGTGTGTGAAGATGTTCTGAGGCTCTGAGCACAAGAAATTCTGCACTGGACACCAAGCAGCTAGTCTCCCTACTTCTGCACCAAATACACAGCAGCATC